AAAATCTTAAATACCAAAAGTTAATATAAGATATAGTTTAAAAAGTTACTTTTGCATTAAGTCTAAGAATGATGATAATTCTTAATAACTTGTGATATCCGTGTGAACGTATTTATTGTGAATTGATAAACTTAACATCGGAATATTGCTTACGGCCGACATGATCAAGTACTAGGAGTATGTACATGTTATGACTGTCATGAGCATGTTACCAATGAATGACATGATCAAGTACTAGGAGTGTGTGCTTTGTCACAGATTTATTGGTTTCATAGGCAAATACACAATTCGTCAAAGGTGGCGGTGGAGAAGCACTACATCATTGAGGGAGTCTATGTCATCACTTGGACTCTAATTCTTATATGCATGTGTGTCTTGAAACCTTTCTCTTATGTCCATTGGTTTGTAAATTTCGACTGCATCTTTTGTCATTGTATTTCATATGGTAAGTCGGAGTCGGGTTTGAATTTGAGTTTGGATTCGGATTATGATTTAGGTGGGTTTGATCCAGGCCTAGGAGTTTATAACTAGGTTTCATTGGATTTGGGTGTTAAGTTTATAAATGGGCTTAGGTTAGCTTTTTAGATTTGGATTTGGGTATTAAAGAAGGTTGGCCTTGGAAAAAATTGGTATCTACATGCGTTTTTTACTCTAAGATGTGGACTTTACAAAGGTGATCTTCTTTCCCCGTATTTATTTTATTTTGCATCGAAGGATTACCTTGTTTGTTTTGACAGCCTCATATTCCAAGTACTTATTCTGGTGTTTGCCTAAGCATGATGATCCGTTTCTGCATCATTTGCTTTTCGTTGATGATTGCTTCTCTTCATTGTTTCAGATTAAAGCTGTTGAAATATAATAGATTGTAAATTAGTTTAATTCAAGAATGATCTATCCTTTTCTTTTAAAGAGACATGTCCTATACGAAAAACTGTAACCTTTTAAAGTGGTGTCTATTAGATGCATACAGATAGATGATCCATGGTGTTCTCCGGTTCATTACAAACAATCCAATCTTCTATGATAAAAGTAAGAATAAGTGATTTTTTTTTTATTTTACTTTTCAAAAGAAATTCAAACTTTGTTGTATCCCGAGAGGACCTTTGTCTTAACCCTCTAACAATTGTGTGGAAACAAATAATTCTCTTTGGAAAGCGTCGTTAGTGACTCGAAATTTTCTATATAACTCTATATCATCTCCAGTTTTATTATCTTCAGATAAAAATTCAAAAGAGAAGCAACTATGTCTACCAAAGTCTTAGATTACACTTGTAAATGAAAATAATAGAAGGACGAAATTAAAGTTGAATGGTAGTAGTAATAATAGTAATAATAATAATGTAAAAACGACCGAAAAGTAGTTGAGATAAGAAGCATCCCTTGCAAAAAGGAAAAGGTTTGGTTGGCCCTTCAAAATTGGAAAGGGGAACCTTTGAATTAAAGCTTTGCTCACCATATTTCCATACTTTTTCCTCCTATTTCTTTGTTCTCTCCTTAATGGAAAACACAAACACCCACTAACATGTCTTATACGTAGTTTTCCAAATAATAATTTGTTAAAGTATTCGTACATATAAATATATTCATGAGAGTTAACTTTAAAAAGTTATTTTCTTTTGAATGTAAGATTTCCATGGACATATTTTCACACAAACAATAGAATTTGATTTCGTTGATAAAAGATTGAATTTTTTTTTCTTTTGAATAGTCTAGGGTGTTTATAAGGTAAAGTTATTCATATTTTTTTAAGCATATATACATTCTATAAGTGCAACCCGAATGTCTCCTCTCATTGAGTAGCTGATACCACTGATTCAGTTAAGGCAAATAGCCCATATATATAATCTCTCCTGTTGGTCAATCCCACCTTGCGACCTTCATCCCCCTTCGAATGAACAAAGTAAACTCAAAACTTTAAAGAAAAACAAATCATATGTCTACTATTAAGACCAATAGTTTAATAAAAGATTAAAAGTTACTTTCTCTTGTTGATTGAAAAAAAATGTATATTTGGGTAAAAGACACCGATCCCTAAGGTTTGATATAAAATATACTTGGCCATTATGATTTTAAAAATATGTACTTATCCCTTTAGGTTAGGTTAGAAGAAATCCTCATATATCTCCTTGAGATATATTTACTATGTAAATTTAAAATAGGATAAATTACATGTTTAGTCATCAAACTATTAAATATGAACTTGATTATTAAATTTTTAAATATTAATTTTGGATCACTCAATCATTAATTCTTTAATGTCGTTTAAAAATTATATTGAAACTTTGAAACATTTTGTTAAATTTATGCAACCCGTGAAAATGTGCTCCCTCAAAATCTTAAATTCAAATTTTCGAACTCCGTTTGATTCATCAACGTCAAAATATTTATAATTTATATAAATATAATTTTTATAGTTTATAATTGTAAATGGTAGTTTTATAATTTATACTTATATGATTTGAAATATATCCATAAGGTTTAATATATGTTTTTATTAGAATATAATATAATTTTCATTTTCATGTAATCGTGATCAAAATAATTTTACAAACAAATATTTCTGTTATTATTTTTAATACATTAGACTCATTTAAAGCAATTTTTCTTTTTCTTTTTTCAATTTGTATTTTATGATCAATATATTATAGAATTATGATATTCTAATCCATGCACATTTTCTTGTTCGAAACATTGTGTATCTTGTAATGCTTCGGATTTCAGGTCAACGATGTCAGGTTGACTCGAGTCGATTAAGAATTGATTTAAAATAGTATTAGTAAACATTGGGCCATGTTTGAGCTTGATTGAACTAGAATTAATCCTAAAATGGGAACTTTTGAATTAGGTTCAATGAAGGGAGGACCAATGAGGTAATTAACCCATCTAGTATTTGAAAGGCTGATTTTCTTTTATTATGGTTATGCCAATGGCCGGCGAAGGAGGACAAAACTGCTTTATGTTTTCTCATTTTGTTCGCTCTTTTATCTTCGTTCTCCTTCACCTTTCTTCGTTCTCTCGAGTAGAGAGAACTCAGAGGAGCCAATTTTATTGTCTAGGAGTTTGATTAGGTAAGAACTATAATCTTCACCTCTAGAGCTTCTATTCAAGTTCTCTTTCTTAACGTTTGTCCATGATGGCCATGGTGAGGGTTTTAGAGGAGTTTTGAGCTCTTGAGCTTAAGGGTGATTCTAACATGTTTCTAATGCTTGGAATTCATGTCTTTACTTATCTTAAGTCTTTTCTATTTTATTTTACCAAGCACCTTCGTAACGTTTTCATATAATTCATTATATTAAATAATCTCATCATTAAAAAAATCAAGTATAAGAACCAATTAAGTGCTAAAAGAAAATATTATTCTCGGTTTTGGGTTCGAACAATTGCGTTTGTAGGGTGTATGTTGTCAATTGGTTAAAAAATCATTTTTTATTAAGTTAAAGTGATACAAAGTAATATATGTTCTAAATACTCTCAACTATTTGACAATGAACGTGCAATCACCCTTGCAGTCGCTGGTGCTCAAACCCATAACCTGAGTAACAATTTCTTTAACCATTAAAGTAAATTAGTATAGATTAAAAAAATCTTAATAAATATTATTTTATAATCACTCTATATTATTAAAAAATAAATTTTAAATAATGATTTAATCAAACACAACATCTATTGCATCTTTTTTTTATTGTGTAAAGAATATTAAATTATAAATATTAAAATGGAAAAGGCATGTTTTGAGAGTGGCTTGGGCGTTGTGTGGATAAAATGGGGTCCACCAACATGTGGACCCAATTCAATATTCATCCATAGAAATAAAGGCCGCATCTCAAGGACGAAGGACCTCTCCATTCCGTCCCTTCCTATCCAATAGTAATAATCAAATCCATTAAATTAATAAATATTAAATATTTGATACATAAATGTTTTTCCATAAACAAATTTAATTCTCATTAATTTATTTTAAATAAATAATTAATAATACATAACAATAGTTTAAAATTATTTTTTTTAAATTCCACTACTAATATATCAAAAATATATGGTCAGTTTATTAATTCAAAACTTGTAATTTTACTTGCAAGTTACATATTGTTTAGATATATGAAAAATATTTATTGAATAAAATATTATTTTTATAAATTCAGGATACATAAATTAAAAAATCATAACCAGAATAAATATATACTTCCTAAATAAAAAAAGGTAAAATTTACATTTAGTATCCCAACTATCATTTTTATTTAATTTTGATCATCCAACTATTTTTCTTTCAAAATCATATCTAACGTTTATTTTTTATTTCATTTTAATCACTCATCGTTAAAAAAATAACGATATTAACGTGTCATCATAAGATACTGCCATATTATCATTGAAAAGATAAAAAAAATATGACATCAACATTTTTATTAACTTTTTTAATAGTCTATGATCAAAATGGGAGTAAAACGTATCGTTAAGTATGATTAAAAGAACTAGTTATGTAACTAAAATGAAACAAAAGTGATAGTTGAGTGTATCAGAGGTTAGAGATGTTCAATTGGTTAATTTGGTTATCGATTGAACCGAATTAACCGATATTTTTTTTTTGTCTTCTCGGTTTCAAGGTTTCGTCTTAACTAATCTGAACTTTACTTAAGCGATATCAAATTGCTTATCACTTGAACTAAATTAAACCAAACTTTTTTTCAGAAATATTAGTCAAACTAATTTATTTCGATTGGGTAGTTTAATTAAAACCGAAAAATAAACACATTATAGTTTAACCTAAAAACAATTGAAGATATATTCTTATTTCGAAAGCAAAAAAAGCGCGTGGTTGCACCAAAATTATTCTAGAGACGGGAGCAATGAATTTTGTAAACCTTATCCATATAAGAAAATTCGGAGGGGACCACAGGAATTGAATGGCACCAAATAATAAAATAATTAATGACAGAAAAATATTGTAAGTAAAGTCTTTATGACTCGAATCTGAATCAGCAATCATAGAAATAAAACCCCAACCAAATCAACAAACAAAACACAATGGATAGAGTTTTCTCCGTCGAGAACCCCTTCTGGTCGTCTTCCTCCTCCTCCTCCTACGCCGCCGCCGGAGAGAACGATGAGACAACCGGTCCTACAATGAACCGTAGTGCTTCCGAGTGGGCTTTTCAGAGGTTTATTACAGAAGAAGTTGATAAGAAACTTGAAGATAAAGAAGAAGGCCAGACTAAGGGAGATCTGGAGAAGAATGGGGCGACGTCGTTTTTCAATGTCTGTTCTGAGAGTAACAAGAATAACAATGTTCCCGTGGATTTAGATGAATACCAAGCTGTTCTTAAGAACAAGCTTAACTTGGCTTGCGCTGCTGTTGCCATGTCAAGGGTAAGTCTTTTTTTCTCTTGTGAAATGTTGTTATTATTTTCGTCTCTGTGTTTGGATGATGAGAAACGGCGTTGCGAATAAAAGGGTAAAGGCGGGAAAGTTTGGATCACTAATGTTTTTGCTTTTATTAAATACATGATTTTTTTCCTTCTTTTTCTGGGTTGTGTTTGGCGGTTGAGAAAATTTAAAGTGTACTTTTTTTAATAAAAAAAAAAGCATAGGTTCATTCAAAAAGAAAAGTCTGGATAGTTTCTTAAAACTGAAATTTGTTTCTTTTGGGATGTTTTAGGCTAATTTAACTTTGGTCTGATTTTCCAAGAAAATCAAGGTTTTTCGTTTGGCTTTGTGGCAGTGAAAAGGTTAACCTGATTTTTTTTAGGATGGAAATAAATGTATTAATAATACAAAATTTTTATATAGCATAAATAAAATTTTAAAATTGACACAATCAGAAAAATAAATAACTATTAGGAGCACAATTAGAAACATAGATAACTATTAGGAGAAAATTCGGACGTGCCCTTCTCACACAAAAGCGGCTCTGCCACTGGTTTGATAACACTCGTGGTGTACTTGTCCATACATATTCGGATATGAATACACGTATAATTTTCTAAAAATACGGAAAATACTAAATAAGTGGAGTATATTTATAGAAGACATACATTAATATCGGAGACGCTCATCCAAATCATTGTAGCATAAACTAGTATTAGGAAATCCTAAAACAGCTTATTGATACTATTAATATCAGTTTGTTTATCATTTTTTGCTTTGATTTGGATGGTTGATGTTCATTATTCAGATTCTTTCTCCCATGAATTCGGAATAAGCTTGGTTTGGATGCTTTCTAATGAGTTGTTTTTGTACAAGGAAGTATCTTTTTCCCATAAAAAGAGAAAATTCTTATAGCTATGTTACTCGTACTCGTGTGTGAGTGTTGGATACGAGTATATGCGTATGATACTGATATGTTCAACTTTTTCTTTGAAAAGAGTAAAAATTCTTATAGCTATGTTACTCGTATTTGTGTGCGAGTGTTGGATATGAGTATATGCATATGACATTTATATGTGTATTACATGAGTATGACTTATTATGTTATATCCATATCAAACAGGCATGTTTTGTGAAGCCCCAAGACTCTGGTGCTAGAGCTGATAGTGGATCGCAGGCTTCCAATACTCTGCAATCTGGATCCAAAGCTACTTCTAAAGGTTTAAAATCATCAGTTCATCACTGAAATTTCTTAGATGCAGCTGCTCTGCGTACCATTTTCTTTGTTGCAGTGTCCATTATATTCGTTTTCACTGTATATATAGGGGCCAGTGATAAGGACGGTAATGCACCGGTGGGATTTCCTCCCTTGCTCAAGGGACAAAAGAAGTCTGGAGCTCAGGTGAGGCCAAGCACAATTGGATCATCAAGTGAACTGTCGGACGAAGATGAACTTGAAGGAGAGAATGAAACAATGGAGAATATGGATCCTGCTGATGCAAAACGTGTAAGGAGGTAATCGTTCCTTACCCTTTTTCTTCTAGATTGCCGATAGGTTCACATTGAATAATTCTTGTTCATAATTGTGCATTTTATGATGCTATCAATTCATATGGTGGTTAAGGATGCTTTCAAATCGAGAGTCAGCTAGGCGCTCTAGAAGAAGGAAGCAGGCTCACTTGACTGAACTTGGGACACAGGTGCCTTTGTTTGTTAGTTTCCTCTTTGTTTTACTGAACCACCTTTGAGCTATAGAATCCTAATCCGTTATCTAATGTAGGTTTCTCAACTACGAGTCGAAAATGCAGCCTTATTGAAGCGTCTCTCTGACATTAGCCAAAAGTACAATAATGCAGCCGTTGACAACAGAGTTCTGAAAGCTGATGTCGAAACATTGAAAGCAAAGGTAAATGACTTATTGGATATATTGGTCTTAAAGTTTAGTTTCTGGCTTCATAGGGAGATTGTTTCAGTTCTGCAATGCTCAATAATATGCAGATTGGTGAACTTTGTTCTTTTTCTAGGTGAAAATGGCTGAAGAATCAGTCAAAAGAATCACCGGTTTGAGCTACTCAACCGAAATATCAAAAATGAGGATGTCGTTGTTTGACGGAAGTCCCCCCGATACGTCAACGGGTGCTGCTGTTCCTGTACAAGACGGATCAAAGCATCCCATATATCAGGCTGCTGCAAACAAAGCTATATCTACACATGACCTGAGAACCAGCAATGCACTCTCAGACATCTCTTCTGTAGAAAACATACAACTGAGTTCAGGAGGATCTGCCGTACCGGAAAAGAAAATCGGACGAACAAATTCCTTGCCGTACCGGAAAAGAAAATCGGACGAACAAATTCCTTGCAGCGAGTGGCTAGCTTGGAGCATCTACAAAAGCGGATCTGCGGGCGTGTGAGCCCCTGTAAGCCCCAGTTTAACGGTGAGAAAAAGTAGAAAATACACAAAAGCCTGCTGTAAAAAGAGATAAACTGAAGAATAGTCTTAGAATGATCAAATAGTAGTATAATTTCTGGTTTTAAATGTTGGAATCAATGTTATTCTTTATGTTAATTATGCAGTAATGGGCTAATGTCAACTGCTGAAAAGATTGATTCATCAATACATTATGCTCAATTATTTGCTATTGAACGAACATACTCATGTATATATGATGCTCAAACCCGAGACCTTAAGGAATAACAACAATACGCATATAATCAATGTTATTCATAAATTTATATGATAAAATTACACTCACTTTAGGGTATGAGAGTTTTTACCCTCCACTTGAACACTACCCAACCTGGTCTCTCCCCTATATAAAATTCGACATGACCCGACCCAAATTTGATTTTCTTTTCTAAAAAATTTGACTCTATCGGGTTGGATCATGTCGAAATTTGTCGACTTCAGATTAAATTTTTATCCCTAGATAAACATACACTAAACAAACGATAAACGAATATGTTCGTGAACGCTAAATGAACACGTTCTCGAACATTAAACAAACATGTTCGGGAATAATAAATAAACGAACACGGACAGCTTCAAAAATAAATAAATGAACAGAAATACGATACTAAAAATTTAAATGAACAAAAATCAAAAATAAACACCTTAAAAAATAAACAAACATGTTCGGGAATAATAAATAAACGAACACGGACAACTTCAAAAATAAATAAATGAACAGAAATACGATACTAAAAATTTAAATGAACAAAAACCAAACATAAACACCTTAAAAAATAAACAAACGAACATAAACATAATCTTGTTCGTTCAACCTCAATTCATTTACACCCTTATAATATTGTTCGTTCAAGCTCGGTTCATTTACATCTCTAAAAAGCAATTTAGAAAATGATTAATAATGGTATAAAAATGTATTTACCTAGATTAGCCCAAATTAATATAAAGTACAATAGCTTCTATTTAGATTTAATTAAAATATTATTAGACATAATATCAAAATTAACTCCTAATGTTCAATAAAATAATTGTTTTAACTCATAATCTAATTTTAGAGCATTTTAACTCCCAATGTTTCATTTTAAGACAAAAATAACTTTTAATTAAATAATAAATTTAACTTTTACTCCTTTTTTCTAGAATATTTTAACTTATTATGTTCCATTTTACAGTAACAAAAATATTATTTTAAAACATTGACCGTTTGTTAACTAACAAATTTCCTCCACAGAGAAATCTATCTCAAAATAAAATGTTAGAAAAAACCAAAATAACCATTTCGATAAACATATTTTGGCATTATATCAAATTATTAATATTATTATGAACAATAATAAAAATAATCCAACCTCAGGTAAAGGGATTTTAGAAACCACCTATGAAGAGGATTGTGATGGTACAAATCTGATTTTCCAACGGACGTGTTAATTAGGTAAGAAACAGTCCAAATGCTTATGATCTTCTAAGGAGAAAGCAGTACAAAATTTTTAGAAAAAACTTGCTACTAACGTGAATATATCAAACACTAATCAAATTTACAGTGAAATCCTAATCAAATCAGCAGAGACAATTAGAACTTGAACTTGAAATTGCCAAAAAGAAGTGGGTTGGATTTTTATCCATCTTTGAAACACCATCATTGCTCAATCCTTGAAGGCACAAGTGAGAGCTCTTTGTACATTGTCAGCTACAGTTCTTAACCTTCCCTGAGTTGCATCCGCCGGTGAAGAACCGCTAACCTCAATCGTCCGAGCCACCCTCTGCTTGCACTTCTCCCACTCATCAAGCCGCGACCAGTACGCCCATCCTCCATGGCTTCCTTCCATGCCAAGAAATGACACGTTAGGGTTTTCACCAAAGGAATATTTTAATCTCACCGAGACACAGTAGGGCAGCCATGCAGCACCCCCAGCAGTATTTATATGAGGTATATGGGCAGGATCAAGTACAACCGTCAGAGCAAAATCTACAGAGTTATGACGTCGATCATAGTGGATATTGCTTTTAGTTGCAGATGAACTTTCGGAAGCATCACCAATGTTCACCCCAGTATGATTTTCAAGACATAACTCAATTCGCGGTTTCTGAGCAGGAGCTATATCTCCACTCTGTGTTAATGCTAATCCTTTCTTCCAATCTATTAATTTCAGGAATTCTCGTAAAACTGAAATGGGTAATGTGAGAAGTGTAATGAATGATGCGACACGTGAGGCATCATAAGGTTCAGATGCGACACGTCGGCTAAAGTAGTCACATATCTCACTTATTTCGGACTGAGTTAATTCCTCTTGACCATTAGCATTGTTTTGTTGCTGCTGTTGCTGTTGATGGTGATGGAAGCGCTTCACGCTAAGAACCTGAAGAAGAAGTTGAACTCTGTGGACGCTTACGGCAAACACATAGCCTCTGCAGAAAGACGTGATCAGATAATTATCCAAATCTGAACTACATATAAAACACACAAAACCGGCCTAAGGAGAGGATCATTCAACAGAATAAAACTGATCAACAATGCAATGCAATTCTCCACTATGTTCATCGGAAATTAAGATGCAAAATATTATTAGCAAAAGATTCAAGACAGTCTATTTGCTGAAAGCTTTTAAGGGAGGTTGACCCATTCAATGCTAGGCATCAAATGACTGTACGTGCATTATTATCCATCAATTTGCACCAAGGACTATAGAACCAACAAAACTAGTAACGTACTTGGAAAATAAAATCAGTGAGCTCATCAAAGACAAAAGGTTTCATGCACGAAGAGAAGATAAACATACTGTAAATTAATCTTACCCCACAAAGAAACGCAAGGCAGGCTGTTCTTGGTCCAAGTTCAAAAGTGCACCTTCATTTTCCTTCAAGATTGATCCCAGGATCTCTTTCAAAAGTTCAGGTAACTGGGCAAATAACCACAGAACTCCGAGGTATTTAAGAATACCCCTCAAAACCTTCTTAAGAGCAACAACAGGAACCCATCCACCACCATATCCTCCGTCGTCACCAAGCCCAATAATGGCAGTATTCAGTTCCCCCCTAACGTGTGCAGGAACACCACTACCAGGCGGTCGACGTAGTGGCAATCCCGTGCTCGCAACAGCCAAATTCGGTGATCCTGGAAGAGCATTTCCCACACGGTTTAAAGCCGCTACCTGGTTTGCTGCCCTAGACATTGCTGCAGATGTAGGAAGGTTAATTCTATTTCCATTTGCTGAAAGCTGTGGACCTGTACTCAAGTTCATACTGTTAGAATTTGCTGGGCCAATTGTTTGTTGGCCACTCGTGAAACCAGAATCTAATCCGTTTAGTTCTTGGGCAACATGTTCCATAATGAAAGGCCTGAACTGTGGACATGGTAAGGACCCTCCAATAGAAGATCCCCCTCCAGGTGATGCTGCAGGTGGTGTCGCTGGTTGCAGCCAAACCTGATCACCAGCAAAGCACCGCATGTCAACTGCAAAACGCTTGCGATATATTATGCGTATCCAATATGGACCACGTAATACAACGGAGACATCAATGGGCAACAGTGAGCTAGGTACAATGCCAGGACCACCTCTCCCAGCAGCAGTTAACATTGCAGCCCCATGGAGGCTATGGTTCCCCATAGAGCTTGCAGAAGCAGATGCAGTAGTATTTCCTGCTGGAACAGCAGCAACCTGATTAACATTTGCAGTTGAACTGCTTGGCAGAAGTCCCTGAAATGGAGTGTATCCTGACTGTTTTGGCACAGAAGAAATAGCTCCAGATCCCCCAGAGACTCCAGGAGCAGGACTAGCTCGAGCAGGCCGAGTTGCAGCAGCAAGAGCATGCAAAGGACCTGCAGTTAGTCGAATGCAGTCTAACAGAGATGCAACTTCAGCTCCATCTATGAAATCTTCCAAAAACTGTACAAAGTAATCACAACAATCAGTGTATTTATGATGCGTAGTGGGAACTTGTACCAATATCAGATTTGAGCCAAAGAGAAGGTTCTCTATTATCCAGAATTATCTACATTATATCCAAAAGTTGAAAAGTGCCATGTGTTTAAGATGAACCCCTCCTTTTTCCTCATGTGAGATAAGCTTAAATAAGGTGCATCTCATAAGTGACCACACTGTGCCACAATGTAGTTCAAGGGAATTTTTTACTAAGACCTACTTGAACACATTCATGATTTCATGTATGTTACTTGTCAGCTGATCCGTTGAGGGAACTCTTATGCTCATAAATTATCAGTCTTTCTCTTAGCACAGTTCAAAGAAAATTATACAACTTTAAGCCAACAACCAATTGTCCTACTTGTTGAGGGAACTCTTATACTCATAAATGATCATTCTTTGTCTTAGTACAGTTCAAAGAAAATGATACAACTTTAAGCCAACAACCATTTGTCCAAAAGCCAGTAAAGGAAAAGGTAACAATGTTTTCATTCAAGCATTGAGGTAAACCACCATGGCATGAATAACAATTCATTCAGTGTTATTCTAAAAAAATTCAGGAATGAAATGATACTACCAAGCACCAAAATAGGATCTTTGTAATTCTGAAAAGCTCAGGAAAAACAGCGATGCTCTCAAGCCATCTAGCATGCTTAATCAAGTTCTTAAGAGGTAAAGATAAAATCAAAGAAAGGCCAGCAAAGACATTTTGTAATATTACATAATAAATGTAAAAGAAACAAAGTGGTTGACAAATGTACCAAGCAAGCACATAATCACAGTAAAATAGTACGAGACAAAATAATGGACAATGAAATTATTTTAAATGAAAGGGGGAAACAAACCTTGGTATGAGGCCAAAGTTGATCGGGAGACACATGCATTGTGCAACCTTCTTTACCAGATTCCCACTCCACAACAAAGCGAGCTAACACACCTGATCCAAAGCAAAACCACAAACTCAATAATCCTACTGCCTCAATCCTAAAAGACCTCCTCATCTGCTCTGATAACTTATCAGCAGCCTCAATAGCACCTTTGCCTCCAACAGGCGCTTTAACATCAGAGTTTGCACAGCCTTCTTCAGGTTTTTCTTCTGTTCTAACCCCGAGCAATTTCCACATCCCCAGAGAAAATGTTTTAGCATTAGAGAGCCTTCGTATATCCGCCACCAACTTTTTAATACTATCTGACTCAACAGAATGATAACTAAGAACAACACCATCCGGATCATAACGAATATGAGAATCCACATGAGATGTATTAGCTATGCGTATTTCAGAGCCCCAAGGTGTACTAGTACTTCCCTTCTGAAGTTCCCACAAATCTCTGAAGTGTTGGTCATTTATTTTGACATCCCAGTACAAGCTTCCAGGCCTGCCAAGTCGCAAGCAGATATGTCGCCACGAATCACCTTGGGAACATGGAAGTCGGAACCATATATTCGAGGATGCATTTCTTAAACCCACTTCTTCAACATAAGGAATGTCCAATTCCTCCATCTGACTAGTGAGTTTGGCATGTTTAATACATAGTGAAGAATGCCTAACCACGTGAAGAAGAGCAGAAACATAGATGCCAGAAGGTGCATTCCCTTTATTTGCTTCAGCTATAAGATTATCACAACTGTATGCTTCAGATTTAGAGATCATTTCCGAAGATTTAAGCACCTGAGATGCAGGCAGCTGAGTGCAAGCGACATCAGAGGTTTTCCTTCTCTTAGAAAAGCCTGCATCCACTTCTATACCTTGGAGAGAGGGAATAAAACTCAACAAATTTGAAATTTTGCGCTTTCGTGGATTCTGGTCGTGTTTGGAAGCATCATGAGAAGTGCCATGACAAATTGTAGTTTCTGCTGCTTGGGCTGCAAAAGGTACATTTAGCCAGTCAAATTTAAGTGAACACAAAACAATTTGAACAGATAGTGCACTCAGAGAAAGTATCTTACATATGACGGGTGAAGCCAAAGGGCTTGCTCCGGAAAATCTAACAGCTGCAGTAAGATTTCCAGGGGATGAGCTTCTAGATACATTAGGCTTTGCATTTTGTACAACGACTCGAGGAAGGGTTGGTCTAGGTGGAGATAATAGCCGAGACCTACTTGCTGAAGGTGCATCCTTTGAAGTATCATTTAGTAATCTCAACTGATCTTCATCCAATACTTCATTGTCAAGTGAATGAGGAGATCTGAGAGAAGCCAGATCCTGCTCAAATTTTGAAGCAGATAGCTTCTTTAAAGATGTGATTCTTCCTGTGCCAGATGATAACAAACCAAATGAAGCAGAGTGAAATGAGCTCTTAAGACCACTTGATGGATACAATGAACCATCATAATGAGTAGCTGAACCTGCTGATTTTGCAACATTATTATGCTGTGAGACCAGCAAACCCACTTCCCACTTTGGACAGGGGGTTCCTACTTTTACACTATGAACATTCATCGGGACAGAAGTAAGATGAGAGACACTCTGAGAAGGAAAAGGAATTGCAGATGTCCCCTTTTCAATTTCGAAAACTTCATCAACAATAGATGAAAAACTTGATGAAGGACCCCCAACATTTTGCATAGAACCATCAAGGTTGAACACATCACGTTCAGATATCTGATTTGGTCTCCCAACATTAGGCAAAGATGAAACCAACTTCCCCCAGTCAATTATGCTCAAATTTGTTTCATCTTCAAGCATCTGCATCTGGCTAATGTCAATTTTCTTAATGCGCAACGCATTATCTAAGTCATTAAACGAATGACCTTTCCCTGATGCTTCTGGCTGAGTCTCTAGCAGTTTAAACACCGGCTTGAAATCCTTATCAAGTTCCATCAAGAGAAAATAAGAATTCCCGGAGTCCGGAAACCCCATTACCAGTACAGCAGAACCATTCACGAGGTTCTTGGGCACTTTCACTGCAGCAAAACCATGTTCATAGACCTACAAGAATTAAACATACAGATTCATTAATCATTACAAAATAAATAAAAGGACAAAAACAGTTATATTGCATTTTGGTAACAATAAAAATAAAAAGCATAGATGGTTACTTCGAGGCCTAAGAATTTTCCAATAGCGGCAAATAGATGTAATATACTTTTGCTTCGCAAGCTTGTAAAAACATCAGCTGCTGCCATAGTTCCTTGATTTAAAGTTTCTTCACACTCTAACAATGCTGAAGGTGCAAGAATATTTTGTGATAACTGGAGAAGAAAGCGGCCATTTCTGTGACCCAAAACAAAGCTTCATAAACTCTAAAGTAGGCCAAGAAATATTTATTAACAGAACTGCAACTGTAAATATGCCAGTTCAAAAATCTTGCGTTAAAAAAAAGATTAACTAGGTCAAGAAGCATCTATGCAAGTAACAAAGTTTAAAAATGTGCAGATAAGTACTTTTTGAGAGAGTGCACATATTAAGGGTGGGTGCACATGGAAAAGAAGTAAAAAAATAGACACGGAAAAGGACATGTTACTTGTATGGGTAAAAGCTGACCTTATATTTATTCCAAGGGTAAAAAAAGATGAGCCATAAGCACGGACTCGCAATAATTCCTGCCCCCCATGTTCCTTACTGTCAAGCTTAGCATCCTTCAACAACACAAAATGGAGGGAAAATATCAAATTCACCAAAAAGTATCATCAGTGATATTGTAATAAAAACTTCAGCAATGGCATAGTGTGATGATAATTTGATAAAAAGACAAAGAACTAAGGTACAATTGGTTTAGCCCAAGTAGATTCTATCTCCTGATTAAGACATTCCAGGATAAGTTGCCAGCAAATAAATCCATAATATAAGGAAATCAACCTTTCTATGCTCACTATCAGCTTCATCAGCCTGTGAAAGGAGAACAACATCACTAGCATCTCGACAAATCTGCGCATCTTTCATCAGCTCTTTCTGAATTTCCAGCAGACGAGTATATCTATTGCATGATATAGCTCTTAATAGCAGCTTTTCTACATTAATGCAACTTTGATCAAGGAAGAAAACCGCCTCCTTGCCAGTTAATGGGTCTATAACAAACGTGCTATGTTGACACTTAATCTGCAGGTCCAGTCCAGGTTCAATTTTTATATATGGGCAAGATCCTGAGTCTGAAGCACCTGAGTTTTTATCAAAATCTAGCCAATAGAGAAGTTTCAATCCAGGAGTTCGTAGACCAGCTGAATCAGATTCATTATCTTGATTCAGCTGTGTGGACCCACCACTTCCTCCGTCAGATATCAGCTCAAAGCGTATAGCATCTTTCCATCTCCCTTGTCGGAGTGCTTGTACTTGCCTTATGACAGTGTCCATCACAAGTGCAACACAGAGCTCATGCAGAACCGTGTATAAGGTAGCAAATGGATTCTCTGCTGCAGACATTCTGCGCTCTAAGTCATCTCCAAGGACATGCCTCCTCATCTCCTGTAATTTCACAGGCCCGCTTCTCTCACCAACCAGTAATTCTAAATGCAATATCCTCCACAATGATAGATGTCCACGATAACCAAGAGTAACTAACACCTTAAATTCTCCATCTACACGAATCAAAGCGGTACCATCAGCAACTTTCACTTCAGAAATTTCCTTGGGCAATGTAATTTCAAGTAACTTAGAAAGTACAAGTGTGTCCAGCTTTTTCAAAGCCGGGTTTTGCTGATCTTCAGTTAATGAGCTTTGCATACCCACATCTTCTATACATTTTGGTAACCGCTCATATGATCCTGTGAGTAGGACTTCAACAGCAGATGGAACGTCATACACAGGGGCACGAGCTTGCTGTAACCCCTCATGCATGAAGAACAATGAGTCTGAAGCCTGGGTGAAACATGTATCATGACTTGATAAAGTTGATGCCAGTTGCTGGCAATACTGTATGAGTGGAACCTGCATATTACGACATAAAGCTAACTATGAGCTTATATAGCCAATATGTCAATTGATACCCATGTGGAAAGGACACTACGGAATTTGGAATCAAAGGTAAAAATTTACTTCCAGAAGCAATTTAGAGGCAGCACACTCACCCATCACAATAGTTCAAATTCATTAACTAAGATAATATAGCTCTTTAATATCCAACCAACATAATTAAAATGATCTAAAACATTAATTAATGCTAAAAAATCTGCAAAGGTTCAAGGCAATCATTGTGTCTAGACAGAATTCAACTACAACAACGGGATAAACTAATGGGTTGGGAACTTGCCATAGAAATTGAAGTCATAAAGGTGTTGAAAACTCATAACAGAGTTAATGGAAACAAAAAAGTTGGCATATCCATGATAATTCAGCAATCATCAGGTCAACTCTTACACATCTATCCCCACAAGTAATCTATTTGAGCACATTACTAATAATCTAAATAAGAACTGGGCACGATGATGAGTGACAACCATAGCCGACACTCGGTTAGATATTCACCCTTTTATTTTTTTAAAGTAATTGTATTTCTTCATTATTTGTTCTCACTAGTGCAACACCAAGCTATAATTCTATAACAATGCCTTGATTCTACACTTCAGGAGATTCAAAACTAACTAAAATCCGATAAATTGCACAACCAGAAACAAAAAAACACGTGCTACAAATAAAATACTTGATTCGCTTCCATAATTCAATTTTCAAAAGACAATTAACTAACAAAAAGGACAAGTCACAAGCTTAAAACTCAAAAACCAATAAATCTTTTTACTAAAAAAGAGCTCAAATCTTTCAATTAAGAAAACCATAATATTTTCAAGCAACAAAACACCCACAAATCTTTTTCGAAGAAAGACATGTGAAACTTGAAGCAAACTAGCTAAGTGAACTCGGGTGAACATGAGCGGCTCGACTAACCTGCTGACACCACTTAGCCAGAACATTGAGTCTAAGCATCCGTTGCTGGGTCTTGACTATATACTTAAGGAGATTGATCTTCTTCTCCGTATCCGATTGGTCGCTTGATTTAGATTTATCCACGAGTTCTTTCAATGACCTGAAAGATTCCTCGGCCGTTCGACTCACTAAACTCGAAAAGTCCACCGTTTGTTGCCCTAATTCAGCCATTGAAAACAATAATGAAAATCCCTCCAAGCAAAAAGATAAGAAATTGATGTTAATTAGGGAATCTAGGGGTCAGAATGGATCTGGGTTTCATTTAAAAATCAAGAAATTAAGGTTTTTGAACATCTCTCTCTCCCCCCTTTAGGTTTCTCACGTAAGAGAAATTGAGTTTTTCTCTAGCTTCGGGAGAGAAAGAGAGAGGCACAACACACTAAAATTTTCAGATGTAAGAAAGATATAAAAAACAAAGAATTCCACGTCATTTTAAAACTAATTCCATTTTATGGTTAATTACAATATACATCCCTGAACTATGTCTGATTTTAAATTTATCTCAAAATTTCAAAGTATTTCAATTAAACTTTAGGCAAAAAGGTACATGGGGTCCTTGTACTTTGAAAAAAAATCCAATGTGACTCTCAAACTTTGAAAACAAACTCAATGTGACCCTTTGACCAATGATCCTCAGAATAGTCTCTTATATAGTTAGAGTGCAATTTCGTAAATCGTTTGAATGAAAGGATATCCTTAGTGATTTTAAAATAAGTTTTAATATTTATATTTTTAAATTTTTAATCGCAATATATTTAATTTCATGCTTTATTAGCATTATTATTTTCACTTATCTCATCTATTTTATACTCAACATGTTAATTCTGTTGGCATCACATATTTTTGGTTCGTTAAAGTGTTAGGGTAATTTCATTTTATTAATTAGAAAAACATTCTTTTAAATAAATCGAGTGAATTGCGGCATTTACTTTCAAAAGAATCAATCAAGATTATATCTTCAATTAAAATCTTTAAACCATTTTTTATAATTACCACCATCAACAAAATATATGAAACTTTTAAACCATTTTGTTATTCTAATTTCTAAATATATAAAATCAATTTATTCAATTTCTTTAATACTAAACCAACAAAATCTTTAATAAAAATTAAAATACAATTCAAAATATATATTTCTTTAAATATATACATCATCATGATACTTTTACTGACTTAAATGCCTATTTCCTATAATCACTCAAGTGATGAAACAATTCACCAAACCGTTACATGCAAAATAATAGTCATTTCACCCAACCAGACATGCTTTTGATGAAACAAACATCAAACTATTGCAGCCAAATACTTAGATTCTGTCACACCCCAATTTAGGGGCTAAATTTTTAGAAATTATAAAGTATTGAATTTAAGTGATATTTTGGAAGAAATTGAGGATTAAATTGTAAAATTTCAAAGTTGATAGATTATTTTAGGAAGTGTAGGAAATTCAGGGACTCAGTCCTGAATTAACCCATTTTTCTTATATGTTGAATTATAAACTCACTCTCCCCCGTGTAATATGGTTTTTCCCAGATTATTTTTTTCATTTTCTCTCCCTCGTCAACCCACTTTGAGCTCCGATTTCTCCACCGTCCGACCACCATCGTGTTCGTTGTCGACCGAAGAACAAAACCCCTCAAACCCCTCAAACCTCTACTCGTGAATCGGTGTCGTTCGTCGTAAATCTCAACCAAAAGTATCTTCAGTTTTAACTCGATCGTTTTCAGTCGATTCAGGTAGATCCAGCAACCCGTTTTCGATACCTCCCGCACCATCGTATTCCTTGCACCGTTCCGAGTCCAACGGTGTACTTATTGTCTCTGCCACCGCCAGCGCGTGAGCGGTGAGGAAGTTAAAGTTTCTGACGTTTCGGAATCGAGCTCTCCGCCGTTCAAAATTGTGAACCGAGCTTGGTAAGCATCTCAAAATGTCTTAAAATAATTTTAGGAATTTTTTTCGTAATTTTTCGAAGTCCCTAGGCCACCGCACGCGCCCCCACGCGCTACCCCCTGAGAATGGGCTTCGTCTGGCAGCTTGGGGAGAGTGTTGACCGGTTAGGTCGGTCCGAGCCGAGTCGCCGAGTAGTTGACCGTTGACCGGACGTTGACCGGTGTTGACTTTGACCAAAAAGTCAAATTTTTTGAAAAGTCATATTTTATATTTTTCGACGTCCCGAGTCCGATTCCGAAGTCTGTTTCGCCAAATTCGAACCTGGTAAGCTGTTTTTCACTAATTTATCACCTGATTCGATACATTTTTTGCAATTAAGCTTCGTTTTTATGAAATTTCTGTTGATATGTAATCAAGGAATTATTGGAAGTTGATTTCAAGATCGAGGGAATTCAAATTGAGTTTAAATGGTCGATCAATATGGCACAAAAATCGAGGTAATATATTACTACCTCTTTATGCTTTATAGAACATATTGAAAATGGAAAAATGCATGGATGTATATGATTGGACTATTATGTCTGTTTGATTATTGATAGACTTGAACCGAATACGGTTTAAGTGATAAATTATGAGAATACTTCGATTTGGTAAAATTACAAAAATACCCTTATATTGTAAAAAGACAATAATTGACTCTAGAAGTTAGATAAGAAGTTTTAAAGACATTGATCTGATGAAACTATTGATGTGTATAGAAAATACTAGTTTTGCATAGAAAATCTAAATAATTGATTTCTAAACCCAAGATGGCTTGTACAGATTACTAGAAGTTTGATAAGGAATAATTTCAAGTTAAGAGATTATTCGATAAAGCAATTAACCTTAGGATCTCCAAATTATATTATCCTTGTTAAGAGTTTAACATCGAAGTTATCTGGTTACGAAATTACGAAAATGCCTTTGAGAGGTGAAAATAGTCCGAGTTAACCCTGAATACACTGGATCTGTAAAATAACCAAAATGCTTCTGGAATGGAAATGACCCAAGAATATAACCAAGCCCATGAATGATTGGATATCATCAAGCTATGAAATGAATGGAATAAAATTGAGCACCAAAATGACCAAAATACCCTTATGACCTAGACTAAGTAAATGTCTTGGATTAATTAAGGAATCCAAATAAACATGAATGTTGTACTACCCTTAAAAGTTATGGAACACAAGTTAAGTGAGCTGATCAACCCCAATGATATGTCAGTACCTGAATGACATAAATATCACTTGAATGCGTGTTCGACTTCTCAAGTCTCGATGACAATTTTGGAAGTATTCAGCTCAGCTCAACTCTAGATCGCATTTGGTACTAAGAAGTGGATATTCGTTAGACAAATCAACCATGAAGACCAAATTGAACTGAATGGAAGTACAATATGTATCCGAAATTCAGAAATGTTAGAATTACTCTGGAAAACTCTGGAGTAATCGGGATATACTTGACTACTAAATGAACTAAGTAACCTCAATGAATGAGGATTAGGTAAGTGATTGAGATAAGTCTGGAAACTCGGATGAACTTACATGATGTATCATTCATATGGGTTATGAACCACAAATCAAGTACGTCGGCATTTCCTGATATAGTTGAAATATGGAAATGAAATAAAGACTATTAGAATATATGTTCGTCTCCTTAACATCCATTCAGCGATGACTCAGAAGATAATTTATGGACAAGAATTATTGGTATTAAAAAGTAAATATTATGGAAGAACAATGAATTGACCAGTCGACAAGCATTAGTTATGTGAATTATTCAGCTTGAGTTATTTCGATAATATGATAGATCGACACAAATTATAAGTGCCCTAAATTTTCGTTTCTCCCTTATCAGCTCAAATCATTACGCTCATATATGAAAACACAAGTAACATAGATGCAAAGTATTCTGAATACCCCATTTGGTTCAATTGGACTAAAATCATGTTAATTCAATACATACTCTTGAATACCCCTGATTGTTGGGTAACAGAATCACTCTTAGTAAATATGAATCTATAATTATTTTGTATAAAGGTTCCTGAACACTTTCCTGATACACATGAATCATAATGTGATTCTAAAGTATCAACCTTAAATGTCGGATTAGATCAACTAGCAATCGATTTCCCTTCAATAGGACCTCGTTCCTGGAATCTGATCAAATTACTTCAGTTTCATGTTATCCATTCTGAAAACTACCAAGTGTCTCTGAGAAATACTTGGATATCCTAATGTGTTCCACATGTATTACATGATGATTTTATATGTTTTTAAATGAGTTTCACCGAAATTATTGATTTACTAGTTTATGAACCATGGCAACATGTTATATGTTTTCCGGTTACGGTTTCACCGAAAAATATGAATTATTCATGATTTATGACATCATGGAATCTTTTGGTTTTATAAACTATGGTTACCTAAAATATGTCACTAGGTTTCCCTGTTTTCATCAGGCTTATCTGTTATGTGCAAGGGTAAGTCCTTACTGTTTCCCAGGCTCCTTTGTTGTGTGTAAGGGTAAGCCTTATAGTTTCCCCATGTTCATTTGCTATGTGTAAGGGTAAGCCTTACAGTTTCCCCCAGGTTCCTTTGTTGTGTACAAGGGTAAGCTTTACAGTTTCTCCCAGGTTCCTTTGTTGTGTGCAAGGGTAAGCCTTACAGTTTCTCCAAGTTCCTTTGTTGTATGCAAAAGTAAGCCTTACAGTTTTCCCCAGGTTTATTTACTGTGTGTAAGGGTAAGACCTTATAGTTTCTCAGGTTCCTTTACTATGTGCAAGGGTAAAACCTTACCGGTTCCCCAGGCTCTTTTGCTATGTGCAAGGGTAAGACCTTACTATTTTTGCAGGCCCCTCTGCTTTGTGCACAGGGTAAATATGTTTTAAACTGCTATTGTTTTAAAAGAGATTTGTATCTTTTCACTGGTTTTATGGGAACACACTAGTTAACATATCCTGATCTCCTAAACTCAGTCATCCGAAATATTTCTCTGAACTGAAAGCTCACTGTCTATTACTATCTGAAATATTAGTAGGATCTCCTCTCAACATAAAGATATATAGATGTCTGAACCGATAAGGAAATATATGTTTATCTTTATCTACACGTTCTTCAGCATCATTTGATAGTTCTGTATTACTGAGCTTTCCAAAGCTCACTCTATTACTAATCTTTTCAGGTTAAAAGGATTGAATCAGTGCAACTATCGACATCAGTAGGGAGTTCCATTGTCATAATTTGCGGAGTACGGTTCATATTATTAGGGGGCATGTATCTTGTATCTTGTATTTTATTTTTATATCCGAGTCTGAAAATCTGTTTTATTTCTGAATACTGATAAATTTTATATTTGTATTCATAAATCATTTTGAGTTTACATGTTTTGATAAAAGTTTTAAATTTTTTGAGATTTTTACAGTGAGTCGCTCTGGTGGCCCTAACGTAACACC